GTGTAGAGACCATCAGTATCAATGCTAAATGCATCAGTGATTTGGACTGATGCAGAAATGCTTTCACCTGCCTTCAAGAGAACAAACTCATCCTTTGTAGGAGGAATACGATGAGCGAATATTCCATCATATTCAATAGGACTACCAGCAACAGAGACAGTGAGAAATCGAGAGATGAGTCCTTCAAGAGGTGTACCACGTTTCAAGAGATAAAGATCCTCGTTTGCATTGTTGGTGAACTCGAAAGTACAAGCAACTGCAGAAAGAGCTTTATTACAAGCCATATCAAGAGAGATTGGTCTGACATTAGCACTGCATGTACAAGAGAAAAGTAACATTGATTTGATACATACATATAGCTAACATACCTCAGAGCACTGGTCAGGTAAGTAATAAGCAGACATATACAGAGGAGGGCCTTCATGTTTCTCAGCTTTCCTTAGTCTTCTTCTTCTCCTGTGAGATTTTTAGAAATGTGATCCGATCATCTCCTTTTATAGAATACCTAGTTTGTAAAAAATTTGAAGATTCTTTTACTAAAATTTGACCAATAAACAAAGCATCTTTTTGTCAATATTAGAAGTAAAGAAAGTATAATTTTGATGCAATCGAAGCTGTGAAAGCGAACGGATTGCTCACAACTTGGCATTGTACTTTGGCTGCTAACAAACTGGATGACTAGATCTACTATCTACTAGTAGTAATCACACGACTGCATCTGTTAGACTCGCCGGCCTTAGAACTTGTCTGTACCTAGAGCCAAGAGTACATGAATAATATGGATGCAGTCATGTGATGGCTAGTAGATAGTAGATCTATTCATTCAGTTTGTTAGCAGCCGCCAAAAATTGTTGTGTATTTCATTCACCTTTGCAGCTTCAGTTGCATGGAAATTATAGCCTTGTTACTTTCCTTGCTAGCACTGTGGCACACAATGTATTTATACTAATGCAAGCATTAATATTGATGTAATTGGAGAAGAAAGACTATGATGGAAATATTATGCATGGTCAGGCTATGCTGGCAGTTTTATGAAATAAAGAATAAAGGGTAGGACAGATTTTGGAGGAAAATGATGCTAGAATGATCCAGGAAGTAAACTGATAAATAGCATAATAAAATAGCAACATTATAGTCTCACTTCTAATTGTTATTCACATAATCATAGAAGAGAGGAGGCTCTTCATTATTCTTCTCACTATATGATCAATGATAGATCTAATACTAGTATACATGTTCATGCTAATGAATCATGCAATTGTATTGTGATATTTATGAACATAAAGATACATTTTATAGGGTCTCTAGTTGTCTGGACATTGGAAGTGTCATACTCTTAATTACTCTTAGCATGTATTCATGTAATTGGCATGTGAATTAATTATCTACTCATTGTATTCAACACAAGTTGGCATGAAGTATTATTGGTCTGTTGCTTACAATTTCTATATGTGCAGGTGTACTTATTACATCTACACTATTGCAAGATTATTTATTTGCTTGAACTACATAATTCACATATGGCACATAGATAGGCTACCAAACAGTGACTTTAGGAAGAGAGAAAGAGAGAGAGTTGTGGAGAGAGGAATAGAAGAGCAAACAGATCCGAGTGTGCTTGAGAAAGAAGAGAAAGAGAGAGAGACGGATAACAAAAGAGGAGAGAGAAGTTGATCAGCACATGCTAGTGAAGCTGCATGGAGGATTAAGAAGTGCAAGTAAAGCAAAATGGCACTATCAGTAAGATATTGTACTTTGTGGCTTGTTGTTTTATTTAATTTCTAATTTTATGGACAAAACACAACAAAGATCTAATTGCAAAGTGCCATCACAGCGTTGATACTGTTAGTAAAATTATTTTTTATGCTGGCTAATATCATGAACAGCGACATGAATCATGTGCAATAAATAAATGATGTAGCCTGTC